CCACTGTCCTGTTGAGCAGCAGGCAGAAAACAACACTGAGTTCAACAGTGAATCTGAGGTAACGGACTTTAGTAAGATCATAGGCCAAAAAGCTCAGCATTCATTCTGTTTTGAGTCTGTAAACAACACATGATGGTAGGTAGAAAAATCTGAAGATAAATATGAACTACAGTAATTTTCGGACTATAAGCCGCGCCTTTTTCCCCATTTTTCGACGCTGCGGCTTATATAACGGTGCGGCTAATCTATGGATTTTTACAGCTAACGGCCAATAGGGGACCTCCTAAATCTATGGATTTTACAGGTTACAGTCCACCACCTTTAACTCTATGGGCTCTAAAACCTGAGCGAATATGCCACTTCGTTGTGAGAGAAAGGGAGACAGGAGGAATAGGCTGCAGAGTGCATAGCATCATGTCGTGAGGGAGTGGTGTTCAGACGAGAGCAGACGGAGAGTGCCAGACTCGACTCGGAAAGCCGGCTATTGTCTCCTCCGTGACTACTAGTCCTCCTCGTCATGCTCAGAGTCTCCAAAGTCGCGCGCTTCTGAAGGTACGAGTACGTCCGGGCTGTGGCGGACGTCGCTTGCCGGACGAGCCGCACCTCTAAGTCAGCCACGCAAAAGACTACCAGTTGGTACCACGGTAGCTCTCTGCGACACCTGTAAAGTTTGTGTGACCCTCTACAACCCCCCTCTCCCACAAGGGAAAAGCGAAGTAGACACGGAAGGAGGACGAGAGCGTGTGGACACGGAATGGGGTAGAGAATGTTTGACTTCCCATACTACACAGACCCATCACTGGAGAGGTCACCGGTAACGCTACCTTTTCCTATATACCGAACTACAAAATCGTGTCAGGTTGTAAAGATGTTGATAATGCTAAAATACATAACCATAATTACGTTCAATATAATATTTTACAACCTACAGCCTAGGTTCTCGCCCAGTAAATATAATGCATAGCGGACTATAGCCGGGTCTGAAGCATAAAACGGAGTAGTATGTGTCAGTTAATAACAGGGACGAACTGTCTGACTCATTGAGACGTAATGTAAAGTTTGCATACGTAGTTCTTACGTGGTTTGTTCCGCGCCCTTTCAGGAATATTTGACGAATTTAACAGTAACTACTGTACCACATCAATCTTTGGGATTTTCAGACCTTTTGTCCGTTACGAAAGTTTTTACTTACCATCAGTTACACAGGTGTGAAACTTTCGTCTAAACATTTACATTATGTTTCGATGTGTAACTAATTTATATATAATGCGCATTAAAAGCATGATATTCCGCGTGTGACTTATATCGGCGTCGTCGATTTCAACTTACTACACATGTATATACATTCGGCGTGACCTGGATACTTCGGTGTTCCACAAATTACAAATAATGGTAACATTCCAGCAACGTGTCCTCCCCTACACCTTGCTCTACCCCGACAAACTCCTTCGAGGGTAAAAATTGTAAAGTTGTTTGTTCAAGTATAAACGTCATTGATAGTTCACAATGGTAATCACGTTATCATCGAGCTTGTACATGACACGACCACATTTGACATGCATAGTGTATGCAAAGTCTGTGTGTTTGAAAGTTGAAAGTTTGACATTTGCCACCGAGGCGCGGCAATGGCCGCACTAGATGTCGTCACCAAAAGTTGTCAACCATGCCCCTGTTTGATAGTAGCGAAGCATTACAGACAGACAGAACGAGAGCAGACAGAGAGCTGGGTGAGGAGCCAAGGTGAAAATGACGCGCGATTGGACAGAGTGAGAGAAAGGCCGGAGGTCGAAAAGGACGACCTTGGGCGGCGAATTTCCACCCCCCGNAAACAAAGTAGGCATTTTCTTTGTGCCACTGCATCTCACAAAAAAACAAGTACATTTAATAATCAGACCCCGCAATAAAATAAATCAAGTTTCACTTTAGTTTTTCAAGTATCTCAACTCAAACTCACTCACTCACTCACTCAGCATCATCAGACAGGATTTTTTTTAGGAATATGAGCATGTCCACATTTCCAGGTATTTATAAGCTGGGATGTTTGGGCGTTTATAATATCCCCTGCTGTGGAAAAAACTCTCTCGCTTGGTGCTGATGTTGCTGGGACAGCAGTGGTCGCATTAACCGAATATTTTTTTAACAATGACGGAAAAATCTGAAAGGAGTCTGTCATTTTGACAGATTATAACAAACTCGGAACAGCGCCAAAGTTTCCCCGCAGCGAGGCTCTGGTGTTTGCCGTGTTATGCATGCCCTCCAAAAGGAAATGATATAGTTTCCAAACCGTACTTTGCCGTACAGATCATTGAAATGTCTGGAAGTTTTTACTTTACGCTGTGCGCGCTCCCGCGAGGTGCATGCATATCTCGGTGGGCATGCATAACATGGCATAACACCAAGAAGGTGAGGCTTATTGACAGGGCGAGATATAAATATACTGTTGGTACTACCTTCCTCTGGGCACTTTCTTAACCACCACAATCTCTGTTTTTAGACACAGCGTTGACGGATGTGTTCCCAGCCTGGACCTCAACTATGGAGTGTGTGTTGATACCCTGACTCTGCATTCACCTCTATTTGTTTGCAAACACTCTTGCAGTAGTGGGAGCACGTCACCTTTAAATGGCCACTCATCTCCCCCTGGCTCTCACCATCAGATGTCTGAGCCCCTTAATGGTTTCACAGCAGCCCTTTTTACAGCCAGATATGTTTATAATGGTTGCCGCTGTCAAACGTGGCGACTCTGGTACCAACAAACCCTTCTGTTTTCCACTTTGCTCTACACACATTGGTCTGAACACAATTCAGAGACATTCCTGGGAACAAAGATGGGTTCATGTATGCCAGCTGTCCAATCAGGAAGGCCTAATTGCACACATTACCAAGGTTTCAAAAGCCAGTAGTGACACCTTAAATATATTTTCGGTACATGCAAGAGCTAAGAAACATCATTTGACAGTGACGGTTGCTGACAGGATGTTTATGATGTCTACAGCTATTAAAATTGAAACATGCTTTTTTATATATAACAACTGTGTCTGTTTGCACTTAAAATGTCAGTGTCTTTAAAGCCACGATTTGTTCACTCTTTTAATAACAGCTTAAAAATCGTTTTGACGAACGTCTGTTCTTGCTTGTTTGGGTGCAATCTCCCAAAAGAAGTGAGACACACCACCAAATATGTCCCTAATTGTTGTGAAGCTTGATCGTATTTATACAGAGAAAATGTTCTGATTTCCACTCTTTTATCCTACAGCTAATCTGCGTCAATTACTGGTGATTTACAGAGTTTCCAGATCACCAGAAAGCTTAATTGCTGCTAACTTCAGTACCGTTAGCTAGCTAGCTCAGTTAGCTTACGCTTCCAGGACCAGGAGCTCGCACATCAGAGAAACTGTGACTCACATATTCTCTAAAACAATGCTTAACTAAACAATGCTTAATAGTTTCTTCCATGACATGCTGCTTCCATTATTTCTGCGCAGCTTTCCTCCTAATTATGGCTATTACCTTTTAATTAGTTAGTGGCAAACACCTGCAGAGTGTGAGTGTTGCCTCCCGGGTTAGAAATCAGTCTCCCGCCCTTGCCCAGAGTCAGCAGGCAATCATGAATCTTAATCAGTTTTTTAGTAAACACGCAGCACAGAGCGGGTTTCACACGGCCTCGGGGTTAAAGCTGCAGACGGGGCTCGCATGTCAGTGACTGGAATACCTTTGGTGGCACACAGGTTGTTGTCTTCCTCACACACACACACACACACACACACACACACACACACACACACACACACACACACACACACACACACACACACACCTACACTACACACCTACTACCT